ATTTTCGGTTTTAGTGAATATTTATATAAAAATACAAGTTGAAACGCCTTACTTCCGGAACGTGATGTTAGTATCTATTTTATGTTTGACGTATTTTTACACTCATTTACCGTACATTTCGTCATTTTTAGCTAATATTCTTGAGCTGTTCGCGGTGCAAGTTGACCTTGACCTTTGGGAGCGCTTCAATTTGCCTCACTTAGCGTGTGCGGACTAGGTTTCTATGCGTTATTGTTCTAAGTCTACAGAATAGTCACTGTTAACGTTTTTATTTGCGCCAAATCGGATTTGTTTTCGTTCTTTGCCGCGTCCAAATGTCGTCCAATAATTTGCCACACATGATGTTGACAGCTGTCAAAAGTTGAAGTTACTGACCGAAAACGATGGAGCCATTAGAAAGGTTTTTTATGTGTTGTGAAATAATTTTAAATCTAATTTTTCTTGAGGTAGCTTTTAGTTATACAAGTTTATTTTATAATTAATGCTAAATAAAACTACAAAAGATATTTCTGAACGTAGTAACATAATATGATGTTCGACATTCGCTCTGTGCCTTTTGGAGGGAAAAGTGTCGTTTTTATTTTGACTTTCAATTATTTTGTGAAATCTAGTTTAAAGTGGAATAGGATATATATAGCAATAGCACTTATTATGCCTTAATCGAAAATTAAAACGCGAAATTATACGAATCTCGAACTAAAATACCCGTATCGGCCCGTTCTAAGGAATCCCGAGTCAATCCAATCACGCCGCTTCAAATTGCCTATCCTCTTTGTGGCGGCCATATTTACAGAAACATAATTAAACGAAGACATAGCTCAAAGGACTTGTATCCAAGCCAAAATTATTATTAAAAAAAAATTTAATTATATTTTTCAAATTGTTCAGGAATTTTTCCGGAAAAATTTCCACTACTTACATATGAAATTTATCGGAAAATTACTCAACGGTATTCATACCTAACAATGGAATGTACCGTCTATAAAGCATGTATACCGCAAGAGTTACACGTCAGTTCCCAAAATAACAGGATACGTGGTCTATTTTTAATGTTACGGCAAAAGTAAAGCTGCTAATAAACTGACTCCATGTTCGTAGTTAATGCGTAAACTCGTAATCAACTTAACGCATTAATTATTGCATATAATCGATCTCCGCTCGGGTTATCCGAGACCTTGACTACATGAAGTGGATAACGACCTCAAGGATTAACTGCAGGCAGTCGAAACCGACTTCATGCAGTCGATGTCTCAGCTGCGTGAAGTAGATTACGACTTCACGCATGCAAACGTGAAGTCAATCCGTTAGCAGCCTAACATTTTCAATAAATAGTTTTAGCTTGCGTTTACAATTCTCCGTAACATTAAAAATGGTGCTCCGAAAACAGTGCCTGCTTGATGCTTTTTTATACTTCTTTTAATGAAAAAAAAGCAAGTGCGCATTTGACCTCAAAGTGGTTGATTTGTCCGTTGTGTAGCTGAATTTGGCTCAATTTATATTGCGGCGGAAGGCAATGGAAGCGAATTTTTGTAACGATATTGTATACATAGGTATAATATGACGCGAACACAATTAGCACAAGTGATCTGGACGAGCTCGAGATCGCAACTGAGCGCTCCTGAGTAGAGATAGGAAAAACTGCTTATTTTTTTAAACGTTTAAACGTTAAGCTTTTTTAAAAAAAGCGTGCTTTTTTAAACGCTTTTTCACTTAAACGCTTTTTAGTTTGAAGCGAACAAAATCGTTTAGAAAACGTTTAGAAAGCGCGTAGACTTTTATTTTATTTTTCACGAATAACAAACAAACATTGTACAGGGTCAAGAGCACGTCAAGCTTGACACGTAACTGACGTAACACTTAAATCCAACTCTATGCCGCTTACGATAACAACGGTCCAAAGCACAAAGTGTCAAGCTTGGTGTGCTCTTGACTGTACACAGTATGTACAATCAACAACCAGTATCCACATAAATTACTATTAAAATTAAAATTGTCGTGTGCGATGGATAAGGCAAAACTAAAACAAATAAAAAGTCGTTGAAAAACCAAATACAAAGATCCAACAACACGCACGTAGATAAATTTATGAGGTCCGCTGGTTCGTTCCGTGGCTTAGTTGGCATAGCGTCTAGCACGGTTTGCTAGAAGGCGTCGGTTCGAATCAGGCCGGGTCGAAGGATTTTTTTCTGAATGTTCGATCTTTGTATTAATAATTATAACAAACTAGAGGAGTAATTTCACAAAAAATAATTTTCTATGTGCTTATGCAGACCTTAGTTTTTTTTTGTTTTAACGACTTTTTAGCCCTAGCGCCATCTGTGAGAAGTATATTTCTTCACTCAAATATCTAAGTAAAAACTATACAAAAAGAAATTAGGTCAGGGCTTCAATAATAGCTTTTTAAATTTAGAAGCTGGTAAATAAAATATGTAAAAAACTTAACAAATCATTGCGCTGAGAGAAAATACGACGTAGATCTTTACTCAGAACTTCCTACGCATTTTATACAGTTCAGTGCTCTGTTTGGGCTTCCTCGCTACTGCGAAAATTTTTACGCACTGATACGAAAAACGAGAGAGCTCAAACAGGGTTCTATAGATGATAGGGGATAGGTTGGACTCGGTTTCCTCGAGGTTCACCGAACTTCACTTCTGACTTCAACTTTGTCGTTGAGAAGGCCGCGCAACGAACACAGCGAAAGCGGATAGGTTTTCATTTCTGTTTTTTTAATGAAAATGCTATTATTCAATTGCAAAACACAAAAGTACCTATTTGAATATAAAACCTATCAATCCACGGCTGTCATTTAATATGAAATATAAATCAGTTTTTTCCTTGACATGATGAAATGGTATTTTGATTTTACCTCAGTAGCTCCCGGATGCCAGCTTAGGCTCTTTGACGCGGTTCAAAGACGTGCTATAGAATTGTTGAAGATCCTGTGCTTACAGATGATATTGAACCACTGTCTTCGAGGTGAGACTTTGCCACCCTATATCTGTTCTATGGCCAATGTTCTGAAAAACTGTTTGATATGATGCCAACAACAACATTCTATCATCGCACCGTTCGTAATATACCGGCAGGGAGTCCATCCTTACACTCTGGACTTACTTTTCAGAGGGGCGTCCTCCCACGTGGAATGAACTCCCTGTAGGGGTTTTCCCGCAGGATTCCCGGGGAATACAGCGTGGAATCCTTCAAAAGGGGTTTGAAAAGGGTCCTAAATAACTATTTAGGCGCTAAATATGCTTAAATATCTATTAACGCGTGCTTGTGGCCGCTTAATTTTGTAACACAATTTGCCATACTACATGATTAAAAATAGTAAGTATACGGTTGCTACCAACAATAGTAGTGGATGTAAACTCAAGATAGGGCACTGTTCTATCGCGTGTTCAACGATCAACGGGAAATTGTGTTTTAGTGTTGGTCCACTACGATAGATTTGTTATCGACTTTTTGTTATGAACTTTTCGAGTCCATGTT